ATTTTACTTGTAAATTTTACCCCAAGTGTGAAAGTGTGTGAATGGTCCTCGAGGGGCAGAGAAGCCCGCGTGAGCCCCCGCATGCTGGTGTTTTGGTAAGCATGTTACAGAAATACAGGCACGTTTTTGCTAAGTGGGAGCTAAGTCAGAGTCGGTGTGCTGGCTCTGGGATAAGAAACCTCATTTCCTTTGAAAAAAGTAGTTTTTTGAATGACTTCTTGATTTCTGCTATGGATTCAGAGTTGGAGTGGGTGGGTCAGTTTGTCTGAAGCACAGACGTGTGTCTTGTCTGTTCTGATCTGTGGCACATCTAGTTCTTGGGCACGTCTTGAGGCCAGCGTGAGTATAGACAGTTGTCTTTTATGGCTGATACGTTTTACACCTGATAAATTTTCGGAGTTCAGGGACTTTCTCTAGTGACATTACGAATTACGTGGGATATCTTGCTCCTGTGCTGATTCTAATTGAATAGTGATGTTACAAAACACAGACTCATCCTCCGGTGGTTTGAGATGATCAGGGGGGACTGGGTGACCTACACTGTAATACAGTTTCCTTGACACTACGGCACTGCCAAGCGTTGCAGGGATGTGTGTGGGTTAAGAGAGCTTGAGAAGAGGCGTGCTGAAGTGGACTTGGTCTTAAGCAGTAGATGTCAATTCTGGTGTGGTCCTAGGGACTAGAAGCCCATGGGCATATTAGTAAGACCTCATACACATCTTTATTTTTACCTGTTTTTGTTTTTAATCCTAGTTCTACCTGTAAGACTTCTTCCCGTACACTGGGACTGCTCCAAGTGCAAAACAAACGTAGAGGCAAGTGGAGAGATTTCCTTTAAAAGCGCACTTGGAGCTAAAACAGTAGTGTGGGTACACCGTGCGGTGCCATATTTCCTGTAAATCCACTGAATGTTTTGAGAAAGACATGGAATTTTTATAAGGGCCAGAAAAAAAAGACCACAAGTATCTTGTTACATTTTCAGAATGGATTTGGGACATACAAGTGTAAATATCTTCAGATATTTTTAATTGGCCCTTTGCAACTTAGGCTAGAAATCTACAACTGGTAGGAATTATGTGTGATTTCTCTTTTTGGATCATTTTTCTGTGTCTTTTCTGTTATTTAATTGCTTTATCTAACATAAAGAGCAATAATAATATCTTAAGTGCCCAAAATAAGTAGTTGATTGTGTATGGAAATAACGGATTTGGGGGGAATAAACCAGCATTAATGAAGTAGATATGCTAGTATGTGGGGTATGTGTGTGAATACATGCATGGGTGCGTACATAAAGGTAAATTTCTCTTTACTCCCCTAATTTTCTTCTTTTCAGTCTTTCCTCCTCTATTTCTGTTTCCATTTATGTGATGCCACTTTTAAGAAGCCTTCCTGTCACCTCCCAAACAAACCCTGGGGCATTAGGGACAATGGAGTTCATGTGGTTCGTAGGCTAGCAGGTTTATTTTCTTTCCCGTTAGTTTTTCTTTGTCAGACATCCATGGCAAGTTGTAACTTCAGCATGAAGCAAGGGGCTGGCCATGTGTGTTGAGCACCAAGAGCAGCATGGGTGGTAGCTTTGGGGTCGGTGGGTCCCCTCTCCATCCTACCTCTGCTCCTTCACCCTCATCCCCTCGCTGCTGCTCTCCGGTCGTTCCCACCGGTTGCTTCCCGGGAAGCCAGGAGCGGGAAGGCGGGAGGCAGCGCAGTTCCTGGGGCTGGAAACGGCAGCAGCTTCCCCATTGCGTGCGATGGGGTTCATGCAGCTCTGAGCTGCTGCTTCAGCTGGGGGCCGGCTGGCTTTGCCCCTGCATGCGAGGGTGGGCAGCCTAAACCCGGCAGCTGGAATTGAGCCTGGCATCGGTTAAAAGTTTGTCAAAGGGAAAGAATTATTGTAGCCCCTCTTAGCTGTGCTTCTGCTCTGTTTTCTCTTTAATGTGATAGTTTGCTTTTGGGATGGGAAGGAGGGTGGCCTGGTGTTGGTGGCTTGGTGTTGGTGGCTCTTCTCGCCGTTCCTCGTGTCCGTTGCCGTGGCGGTAGCCGGACGATGGTTGTCTCTGGGTGCTGGCTGTACCACTGGGCCCGTGATGGGGTAAATACAGAAACGAGTTTTCAGAACATTTAAATAAGCACCGACAAAATGGATAAAGCAGTATCTAGTTAAAAAGTGGAAACTTTTGCACCTTTTTCGGTTTCATGTCCTCATCAGGCAAGCTGTATTTTTATCGAACACGTTTCTGTTTTTCTGGTTGTTTCGGTACAAAAGGCGGTGTTGCACTGCCACCTCCTGATGGCCGGGCAGGACGGCAGGTGGGGGGACTCAGCTTGGCCTCACCACAGCATCTTGGGGAAAAAGCACTTTCAACCAGCCTTGAAAAATGATACTGCTTTGACTTGGGCAGGGTGAATAACACTTTCTTGACAGACAAGCAAAGTGTTAGCTTCTTTTCTTTAGCTATCCAGCTACGTAACAGGTAATCTCCACAACTCTGCTTTGAGTGGGGGAGTCCTCTTTATATTAATGATGCTGGTCTTCTCTAGGTGGCAAATGGCACCTTCATTGGATTTCTGCATTTTCATCTGTCTTTTTGGATGATGCAGCAAGATTTTAAAAAGACTTTAAAATTTTAAAAAACAGACCCATGAAACACTGCTACGTTTGTGTGTGTATGTAATGTAAAAAGGCTTCTTTATAAGTCTCTTTAAATTTAAATTACCTTTTTTTTTCTGAAGGAGAATATTGTTCCTCTTACTACAGAACTTCTCTGTAACAAGCAGCCTTAAATAAAGGTGATTTGCGCCATGTATGACAACAAAACATAGCTGAATAAAATTGGTGTTTTGTCCTGCACATGGTAGAATTGGTTGCTGATGCATGAAATGGCTAAAAATGACATTCACTTCGCACACTGCTCAATAAACGAGCCCTCAAAGTATATTTTAATTTAGCAGATATACCTTGTGCGTCGGGCATCGCTGGGGGCTGTGCGTGGAGTGGGGTAGGGTTCGTATCAGTGCACCCTTACAAGTTGTGGTGCACTAGCTAGATGTTATTGTACTGGAGATATTATTTTTTCCTTTAGAAATGAGAAGGATTTAAGTAGTTCTGCATTTTTATTTATTTCCTTAAGAAACTAAAACCATCTTCCCTGCCTTTGGCAGCGCAATATGCTTGAGCTGCTTTATAAGCACGAGATCTGGGTTTCTGTGGACATGTCCAGAATCATGCAGGGCCCCTCATTTCCCACGCAGGATAACCCCGGCTCTCCCACTCGGGTCTGGCCCCAGCTGGGTCTGAGCCCTCCCTGCACAGCTCTCGGACTGTGACATTTCTCCTGCGCCCTCTCCAACCCAAGTGAGCAGTGTGTGCTGCCCTCCATCCTGCCCACTGCTGTTAGCTGGGTGGGTGGCTGCATGGCTGGGGCAGGTTTGGGGGGTCCACGTGCTCATCGACTTGCCAGGGTTCATGTGTGGTTTTGAGCGAACACACTCCTGTTGATGTCAGAGTTCATCCTGTAGCGTCTCCTCTCCTCGAGGAGCTTAGTTGAGTCTTTCCTCTACAACATTATGGGGCTTACAGGAAAGTCACATCTTGGAGAGCTTTTCTCACTGTCAAATTTGGATGTAATTGGTAAAATTCAAAAGTTAGATGATAAGAACAAGAGTGTGACCATTTTGTCATATTTCCTTGGGAAATCATGGGAAAAGGTGCCTAGAAAGAATATGCCTGGCAGCCTTATAATGCCGATCATAATCTTTATTTGTTGCTCACTGTTGTGTTCACTGCTTTCCCACTTGGAGCAAGAGTGGCAAATGGCCTGACCACACAGCCATGTAGTGAGAACTTTCTACTTTGAATAATACAAGAAAATCTGTTGTTCAGTTGTTTTTTTTTTTTTTTTAAAAAAAATCAGATCCAGGTCAGACTTTGTCAAATAACAATAGGAAAGTCTCTTACCTTCTCTGACTCCAGTTCCATAGAAGAAAATGATGGTGGCAGCTGGGTAAAGAGGTTGAAGGTCTCTTGATGGAAAGTGCTGGGTGGATACTGGGAATAGGAGATGGACCTTATTTCATACAATGTTCTGGAAGCTGATACTTTGACTTGTTTGGAAAGATCAGGATTTTAATATTCAAACATTTAGAAGTCATGAGAATGCACTCAAAAATGAGGCATAAATTTAGAAAAAACACTGTGTTCTCTCTCTTTGTCTTCATGTTATGAAGACTCTTGTTTCTTCATATTTTCAAAATTTATCCTGTAAAGTATATATGGCCTGGTATGTTATTTGTCTTGCTACCGTTAATAAAATCAAGGGAAAATTGTGTGTATATGTATCCGTCAGTATTTTTTAAAGCATTGATTGAAAGCGTAGAGAAGTGTTACTAAAAATGCTCTGTTCAAAGCTTGTCTCAAGTTCAAGAATTCCTTTTGCAAAGCCTAAGTGTATGGCTGAGATATTTTCTGATTTTTAGTGGAAATAGTTGGCCTTTCTTTGAACAGATACAGTGATGTAGCCCATATTAAACCTTTTTACTAGAGCAGGAGTACATGAAAGTTGAAGTAGATTAGAAAGTAAAAATGGGAACTTCCCTGGGTACCAATGTGAAGGAAGCCAAGTTGTCTGTCTTTGCTAGCCAGAGAAATCCAAATTTTTGAAAAATGTGTTCCATACTGATGATGCTTATTTGATGAAACTCAATTATTTTTTTAAAAACCTGTGAAATGAGGCCTTTTTAATACTGATATTAAGTGGCATAGTTCCCCAGTTCATACCAATTTGCATCATTTGAGAATCCGGCCCTTCAATATTTAATTTACTGACCTTTATGTTGTGGTGAGACAAATGACTTTTTAATGACTATGGTAGACTTATTTGCATTATAAAATAAAACCATTGTCTCTGCTGCCAGGGAGCTACTTGCATTATAAATGTAGCATTTGTTGAGAAATACGTATTAGGTACTAAAAATATTTAATTGACCTACTTTTTTATTTTCAGGGTTGTGTCCTTTGTTGTGACCTCATGGTTTAACTGGGAATAAAGATGAGTATAAGCAGTGATGAGGTTAACTTCTTGGTATATAGATACTTGCAAGAGTCAGGTGAGTTTTTTTTCAATTCTTTTTTTCAATTGTTAAACAATGCATAATTTATTTGGTATTCATCTGCGACTGACTTTAGAAAACGCAGACTCATTTAATTATTTTGCCAGTAGGCATGTGCTTCTGTCTGAACGGTTTCTTGGTGTTTCTTCTCAACAAGAGAATGAATTCCTGCCAAGTTACCTTCTGTAACTTAATCAGATTTAGTCATTTGGAGTCTTCAGATGGCAGTCAACCAACTAAGGACTCGATTGCTAGAAATGCATTTTCCTGGAGATGGCTTTTATCTACAGGGTGATGACACTTTGCACCATTTTCTTTGGGGCTGCTTGAAGAAGAAAAAAGGATGACCACCAAAGTGATGGCGCTCTTGTGAGCTGGTCTTGCGTGGCCGAATTCCTTGCCTGAATGTGACTGTGGGAGGGCAGATCTTGCTGTGTTTCAAAGGAAGAAGGGGTGACCATATGACTCCTATCATTTGAATCTAAATACAGATAGAACAGATTTTTTTACAGGAATGACTCTTGGGTTCTCAAAAGCCTCCCTCCCTGCAGGATACTTTCTTGGAGGATTTTGTCCTTTGGGGTCAGGCTAGCCAAAGCCTGCTGCTTCTTAGGAGGAAGAGCAAAAGACAGATGAACATTGTCAAACTTGAAAACACACTTCAGGCTTCTTGAAAATGCATGTAACTGATGCAACGACTGCTGCTCATGGACTTCCAAAATCGAGGCAAAGAAGCACCAGAAGCAATGGTGGATGGCAGAGTTTTTCAGTGTCTGCTTGTCAGAAGAAAGCAGAAACATTGTTCTGCCTGAATTTACTGAAAACTATTATACATTCTCATTCCAGTTGCAGATTGCTTTTGTCACAGAAGCCAAACTTACAAAATTGCTTTATGTTCATCTGAAAGTTTGCAGGCAGCTTCCTAGTTACCTGACAGAGTGGGATGGGGGGGGAGTTTAAGAAAAAATTCTGAGACAGTAAAGTTAATTTGCTGAAACAACTATTGTTCTCTAGGTTAAATTTGCCTTTTCAGGGCGATCAAATAAATCAAAAGCAACTGCCGGTGCTGCACCATAACATGCTGGCCACTTCTTAATCAGTGCACAATACTGATGTAGTTGTAAGTGCCAAAATACACACAATTATGACAGCACTGTACCATGAAGTGAATTCTGTTCTACGTACAGGTCCATTTTACTTTCATGGGTAACAAATCAGTGAGCAAAAATAATAACTGAGTCTTGGTGTTTTGGAGGTATATATTTTATTAAATACTATGTATGATATAATACACACACACACGTATATATGTTTTAGCATATAAAAATATATCTAAATGCTATTGCAAACTGTATATTTTCTATTTTTGTATTTACTCATGCACAAATGTTTTGCCAATGGTACCAAGATGAAGAATTGTTGTGTTTATATATAAACTTCATTTTTGCCTTTTTGTACATTTAAACTAGAAACATATGCGGGAAACAACAGAGATGTTTTGATGAGGGTTTTTTTTTTGTAAACATGCTATAACTTTGTATAATATGCTTAGGTTTGTAAACAGAAGATCCTACAGTAGTCAGGCAAGTAGCATTGTCTGTCCATAAATCAATTCTGATATTTTTGCCTTGTCTTTAGGGTTTTCTCATTCAGCATTTACCTTTGGTATAGAGAGCCATATCAGCCAGTCTAACATAAATGGTGCTCTGGTGCCACCAGCTGCTTTGATTTCCATCATCCAGAAAGGTCTGCAGTATGTAGAGGCAGAAGTCAGTATTAATGAGGTAAGGAGGCTTTGCCTGCAGGAGCATTATGTCCTTGCTTGCAGTAAGTTCAAATGTTAGTATTTTTTCTTAACTTTCTTGTATCCTATTTATTTACTTTTACTTCAGATTCCTTACTGCTGGTGTTCACCATGACTCCAGTGGTGGAACCAGAATGGAGTGACATAACTGGGTAGGGGTTCTGCCCAGTGCAGCCACACAACACCAGGCATGGTGTTCTGGCTCATTGCTTAAAGGTCCGTTGTCTGTAGAGTTTTTACCCTAATATAATGTTGTAGTAAATCCAGACAAGTGTAATAAAATAATCAGTGAAACCAGTAACCTCTTAATTTTTGTTTTTGTAGACTTCCACTAAGGAGGTGGGAGAGCACTATGTGGCTCTCGTTTGGGTGATGTGTCGTTATAATGAAGTAATGAGAGCCCAAGGCAAGGTTTCCAAACAGAGAGAGGGTTTCAGTTTGTGGCAGGAAGGATGATGGTATATGCCGGTTTGCTTTTAGCCCCTGCTGGCTA